AGCTAAAATATTTTATTTACTTATTTTTTATTTTATGTGTATGCATGTATTGCCTGCATGTAGGTAAGTGTACCCATGTCATGCAATGCCTGCTGAGAACAGAAGAGGCTGTTGGATCCCCCGGAACTGGAGTTACAGAGAGTTGTTAGCTGCCATGTGGGTGCTGGGATTTGAACCCAGGTCTTCTGCAAGAACAGCCAGTGTTCTTAACCACTGAGCCATCTCTCTAGCTTTGCTGATATCTTAAAGCAAAGCCAAGCTGTGTCTCTTCACCTTTAAGAACCTCTGTTCTTTGCTATGGTGGTGGTCACACCTTTATTCCCATAATTTGGGAGGCAGAGGCAGATGGATCTCTGTGAGTTTCAGGCCAGCTGAGGCTACAAGGAGATCCTGTCTCAAAAAAACATAACAAACAAACAAACAAAAAATTCTGTTCTCATGGTTGATGAAGGCATTTAACATAACCACAGTATTGTTATCAAACTTAAAACTTGTAAGTTTTGATCATGAACTGTCTGTGTTGGAATTTTTATCTCAAAAATGTTGCTATAGTTGCTTTATTCAAGTAGGAATCCAAACAAGGTCCCCCCACGCAGCAACATGGTGATGGACGCTAGACTTGAAGCAGCACAGAAAAGCATCACTAAATGAGTTTGTGAAAAGGGAATAGATCACTCAGTTGAAAGGATGAACTCAAGGACTAGCCTGAGAAACAGGAAAATAACAAACACTAAAAGTATTCAGGAACATCTTGCCCCACCACAATTGGGTCAAGAGCCAGAAAGTTCTAAAGAGACTAAGAAAAGTTGAGTACCAAGAGTAACTGGATAAATGACTGGGTTATCTTGATGGCACCAAGGATCTAGCTCGGAAATCCCCTTTAGAATCATGGGGTAAGGAAAGAAGCCATCAGAAAGAAAAACCTTGTAGTCACAGCACCTAATCATTTCATTTCCCAAGCCTTAGTTTCCGAAGCACCTTCAATAAGTGTGGTGTTAAGTTTACTACAAAGTTCATGGGTATAAGTCTGTACTTTATTTCACCAAAGAGACCAAAATAAGCCATGCCTAAAATGCAGTGCCAGCTGGATGACAGTGGTGCCACTGTTCCCT